ATTTATAAAAACTCGAAAATCGTTTAATATAAATATATTCATTTTTTAAATTAGTTTTTAGAACTTTTATTTAATGCTTATAAATAAAAAATACAAAAAACATTTTTTATAAATACATGTTGTTTATATAAAAAGCAATGAGATCGATAAACGAGTGTATATAATATAATATTTAGGTACTATGATTTATCTATACATCATATTATATACATTATACATTATACATGATATAGATTTATTTTTAGTTGTATTTAAATTCATACATATTTATGAAATGTTTTGAGGGCATTGAAAAATTCTGTGATCTAGTTATAAATGATTTGGTACTGGTTTCGACTATACCTACCAATTTTAACTGATTTTATGGTAAATACATTATTACATAATACATTACATTATATTTAACGATTTCGGTTATAACGAATACTTCGTTTGTGAATAATCATGTATATATAGTATATTTAGGTATTATTTACTACACCTATTATATTATGAGTAATATACATAATATTATAATAAAATTGCAGTAGAAACTATAATAAAAATAAATCTTTACGTAAGAAGGCTATGATGACAATTATTAGATCATAATTTATATTAAATTGTCTTCTTGATAAGTATAAAAAATATATTAATAATAATAATAATAAATCATAATAAATTTTAATGCGGATATATTATAATTTATATACATTATTCCTAAGCATCAATAGTTATTATATTTATGAGTTATGACTGATACCTCTATAAATTAAAGTTATTATTGACACAATTTAATTAAAATTAGACATGTCATTTATCTTTTATAATTTTTTGCACACATTAAAATATTTTAATCATGACTGAATATTAGTTTGATTAAAATTTACTTTTATTATTAACTGTTGCTTTTACTGCTGTAGTGTCTTCCATTAATTCTCTGTTGATAGATATAAAAAATATAACATGACAATAAAGCACCGTATTATACGTTATAATTATTATTATAAGTACAACTTTATATGTACATATATACATGTTTAAGATTTACCTATGCTCCATATTAATTATTATCTAACTAAAATCGACTAATATATTATCATACAACTTAATTTTTTTATTAATACTTATGTTATTATTAAAAAAAACAATGATTTTAAAAATAAATTACATTATCTACAATCTACATATGTATATAAGAAATTACAAGATAAWTTTTTTTACAATTCATGAAATCTTTGTTGATATAAAACTATTTTTATTATTTTGTTATTTTTAAATTATTTTTGCTAATTACACAAAAACAATTTTAAAACATTTTGACTAATTAAAAGCTTTTGATAAGAATTTTAGGATTAAGATTTTTACTCTTTAAATTAATTTAAATTGGTAAAATATTTTTTCTTGGTTTAAAACTCCTAGTTGGATACAAGGTCCAAGGTCCCTCATTCTATTGTTTAACATGACATCAATTTAAAATAATTCGAAGGTTCCTCCTTTATTCGAMAATCATTTTTCACGTTTGTCTTTATGAATTAAGGGTGACTTCTTTTAGTTTTATTATACTATTATGTCAGTGTTGTCACGTAAAACGATAATAAATATTAAATTATACGAATTATTGCATCTTTAAGCGTAAGTACCAATTTATATACACGTATATAATCATAATATGCGTGTGGCGTGTATTTGTACATCATGTTTTATTTACCGAAACCGAACTCTAAATTAGAAATTCAGTTGTATACTTGTACGATAAACAATATATAATATATTATGTATTACACTTTATATAGGATTATTTATTTATAGTAATGACTTTTTGTGATGCTAAACWATTATAATATTTTTTAAAATCATCAAAATACACGAGTAACCAAAAAATAAAAATAATATTTTTTCATAAACTGGTCAAATGGTCAACCAATGTTTATTTGAATTTTTAATGTACGTTTTTCAAATACAAATTAAGGAAWTTTTTTTTAAACATGTGACTTAAAATGTGTGGGATTTCGTGAAAGAAATGTCATATGCAAATTTTAATTATCTATATACCTAATCCGAACACTTACGGTTTAACCGCGGCTATGAGTGGCTATACCTACCGCATTGTTTTTTTTTATGAATAATTCTTCTGTGAGGTTAAATGTAATGAACATCCAATCTAATTATAGCAGATCCGTTAGGCCAATGATGTAAAACGCAATAGGCAACAATAAACTAGCTTCTTGTTTAATTGGGTTCGCGAAACCAGGCCGTTTATTATAATTATCGGCACTTTGTTATTCAATTACTAATTGTTTTAATTTAAAAATAATCAAATCATGAGCGTGAACCGCTTTATACGAATTGCGATAAYGTTTACTACCGACACATTGCAGTACTTACATAGTTACACGTAAATAATATTATAATGGTATAGGTATACGTATATTATATACATGTAGTATGCATACAAGTATCGTAACACGTTTAGTACCTACTCGTTTTATTTAAGAAGGTATACTAATTGTTTTTATAACTATTATAAACCATTTTTYAAATCGTGTTGTAAATAAATATATGCAAATAAGTTTTTGTACACACGTTATCAGACATCATCGTTATTAAACACGGCCTTGTAATTAAGAAATGCGATATCGTTTTAAAACAACGGTGCCAATAACAAATCAAATGTTATGATTTACTATATTTCGACGTATTAAACTAAATTCATTGTACAAACGTTGAAAAATAACGCGATCACATGCATTTTTCGAAATATACACAATTATATGCAATATTATAAACTATACATAAAATGCAAACGTTGCCAATTTTCTTTACCCACGTCAGCGGTTTTAGGAAAGAGAGTATATAGAAGCCCAGAGTCTTTAACAATGAAAATCTCCACCAAAAATCCTAGCAAAATATACGGCTACACATTTTTAGTTTTAAATTTMCWAAAAGTCCAAGCATAATTATGTACCTCGCATAGTTATGGTATTTGATACTACATACTACCTATTTATGTCTTCTTTTCACTCTTGGTACCTACATGATATTATTATGTTAATGTATAATACTATAATAGTATAGTATGACTGATTTGAAAAGGTACACTTGATTTTTTTTTCTGGTGATTTCGTACACATTGAGAATATTATACTCGAGTATAATAGAAATAATATAATATAGCGAACCGGACGTCCTCTTTTTCGTCGTCTCGCAGCCGCCGGAGACAAGTGTGCGTGTGCAGCAATGTGCATGATGGATAGCCGAGGTGTACGCGCGGTAAGCGATAATTAATGAGACCCGTCCGCGCCGCTGTGGCGTGAAAACGATACRCGGCCCTTTTGTCGGACCAATGGAAAATAATATAACGCGTGATGAGAGACGAACACGGACACAGACCGGACGGGGAGACTTGTTGACCGATCGACCACTAAGACGAGTGTGTATATGTTATGCGTACATGGGTATTATTATTATTATTATTATTATTATTATTATTATTATGTCTACACAAGTATATAGGTACCTACCAGAGACGATGTACGGTCGGAAACAATAATTTCCGAATATTTTAACACGAACGCTCGTGTACATATACCTACATATATGTATAATGTATATATATATGTATATTAATATATTATATACATAAATATACTAGTCGGCCGTCGCACACAAAACGTTTTATTTACTGTTTGCTCGGCGCAAACATTTTTCTATCTCTTTTCGAACCTCCTAAACAAGACGATTTTACCGGAAAGTCCCTTTGCCAGACGGACGCGGCGGTCGGTTATTTTTTGTTTGTACGGATTTTATATAGGTATAATATAATACGTATGGCACCGCCGTCATCATCRCGGCAGTTGTGTCGTTCACACGGTCACCCGGCGCGCGCGCACTCGTATACGCATACCGATATTATATATATAATATGTACTTATGTATGTATACTACAATACATCATATATATTATTATACGTGTTCCGCGTTTACGACACGACGTTTGGTTTTCTCACACGCTCGTTTAGAAATTCGGCTAAACAAACTACCCGGGCTAAATGACTGCATATTATATAGCCGTCGAAGATATATATAAGGTACCTCTCTACATTTGTGTATATTTATATCAACTTTTCGAGTGAACGGAAAAAAATTATTTCAAATATGTACATAATGTTTTTCTCATCACAYGTATATAATACAGTGTTTTATTATAATGTTGGAGTGTTTTTTCCTCTGTACGAATGACTGTATTCTTCTGAATGTTCAAAAGATCAACACATAGTCTATGACGTCGAAAATGATGTGTAAAATAAAAATCAATGTATGTTATATTTAAAAAAAAAAAATTCAAAACGTTTTTAATAGGTATTTGAACATTTACGTTGTGTTATATATCGTCATCTATAATTAAAGAAAATCACTACCACTAACACAGTAAACAGTATCACTAAATTAGTTAACTTTTGAAATTTGTATTTATATATACATAACGGCTTATTAATATTATGGCGCACTTATATAGAATATATATTATATGTGTAGATAATAAATAATATATGAAGTCAGAAATCAGAAGTGATGAAACCTGTGATACCTATTATACATATGTTTATAATTATTATTCCGCCATATAATTACTGAATTTATAGTTTTAATATTTAATATAGCCTAAAGGTAACTAGTAGAAACGATAACTTATGTGCTACTGTAAGTTGCAATTTGCTATATATTATTATAATATAATAGGTTTTCATAGTCAGCTGATATATATGCTATAATAATTATCTATACTATTAATTGAACCGTTGAAATTCACGTGATTTTATTTGTACGTTAAACCACATTTTATAAGTAATAACGTATGTTCGAGTGGATTAAAATTTCGAAAATTATGATTGTAACAAATTAACAAACATAGATTTAAATACAGTTAATTAACAAACAATTACAAAACGAAAGTAATAGGTACTTAGATACATATAAACAATATTATTTCTATATGTATAGTATAATTCTAGACTCACCTGATTTACAAGAGCAGTGAATGTACCGACGATTGTAGTTGACCCAATCAAAACCTGCTTCGACGGCCAGTCGGGCTAACATGCCATACTTGGACTTATCCCTGTCTGACGTGGTGATGTCTACCGCCCGTCCTTCGTTGTGCAGGCTGCTGCCGGCTCGATCCACCCAACCGTCGATCACCCGCAGTCGAACATTCGGCCATAAGTTCATCACACTGATGGCYAAGGTGTTGAGCTTTTCTTTACACCTCTAAAAACGAAACACAATATATAAGAATGCCATATACCATGGATAGTGCGTTACATAATATCTATATATTATAATTATAGGGTTTCCAGATTTTGAAATCACTAAACCGAGGAATCATATTGAATAATCTTTTTTTTATTCTCTTCCATGTTATAATATATGGAAATAAATATAGGTATCAGATTTTTTTTATTTAAAAATGTCTTCACCAATACAATTTGTTTACATCAATATAATAATTTCTAATCAATCCTAAAAAGTTGGGCGAAATACTTAAAAAATGGATTTTCAATGTTCAAATATTATAAGGTCATGTCAAATTCGCAACTGCTACACAATAATATGAATCACGAGATGATGAGTATGATACAAAATGATCAAAGCGTGTCTCTTTGACAACATTTTAAAAACAGAAATTAACGCCAAGAATATGAGAAAAACAATAATGACTGAATTATAATGCATTATACTATGATGATGTTACAAACCGAAAATGCAGCTCCGTGTATTGTWATATCCCACAAGAATGCAAGGTAGAGAGGCAAGTTGTTTTGACTAAGTACCGTGTACATTATGCACATAATATTATACATTATAATATAATATATTATACACAATTTTCACACCGAAGCGTAACAATCGCCAACGACTAGTTTTTTTTTCCCGATCTTAAACGACGACGGCGGCGACTCGTCGCTACTTTCCGGCAACCAGTTAAACGGAATATTATGCGCGCCAGTTAGTTATTGGACAACTATCGCATTCTGGTTATGCCTGTTATTAAAGCACGCGCGCCAGCCAACCAATATAACTTATGCACACGTCCGGATCTTCTAGGAATCGTTATTTAAGATAACTAACGACAAATTAGCCCAGCAGCAGCAGCAGCTATAGCCCCGCGCCGCATGAAAAATTGCACTCGTTATTTGCTCGTAACCGTTTACCGAGAACTCACCGCGTGCATATTATATTGGATTGTTTATAAATAATACGTTCATAATATTATTACACAAGCTTATGTTTTTTTCTTCTCCTTTACCGAAATGTACCACATAGACAAGATTTATGGTACACTAACAACAGATCTAAATTCGTAAAACGTACAAGTCATGAATAAATATATTTTTTTAACGTTTGAACAATGATTTTGTTTACGTTAAATTTGCTTATTATTATTATTTTTTTTTAAATCGATTTCTGTCGTCTGATAACGAACAACTATAACATTACGATAGGTGTATATTATATGTTTATATATATAAATTACATCAATGTTATAAAAATATTGCTAATTTCAATTACAAAGATCTGAAAGCCTGCTACTATAGTCTATAACTATATACTGCAAAATATAACAGTAACAACTTTTGATATAATTACGAAAATACTTTATTGGTATGTTTTCGAGATGCACAAATATTACAATCATTCACGATATTATAAATTTATAATACAATATTTTATATTTTTATACGATCAAACAGTGGCGTCGAAGTCTTTAAAAATATAATATGACATCATACATCAAAGGGCCTCCATCATCCCCCCCCCCACTATTTTTATAATTCAACCATCAGATGCAATGCAAAGCGTCTACAAATAAGTAATTTAATGTTTAATCGTATATTTTTAAGTTTAAACGTATATTCTGGATGCAGTACACNGTACAGCAGAGCGACATCCACGACTTACCCACTATTTTTATAATTTAACCATCAGATGCAATGCAAAGCGTCTACAAATAAGTAATTTAATGTTTAATCGTATATTTTTAAGTTTAAACGTATATTCTGGATGCAGTACACGACAGTATCTTATGGTAGGCACCCTATCTAAAAAATCTACTATGACATATGTCATATTATATATTTTGGGTGATCGGTGCTACTGCCATCAAAGTAAAGACCATAAAAAATAATTCGTTAAATAAATGCTTGGTTTTAGTAAGTCAAATACACCTAAATATTTAATCTACATGGTCAGTGCAGTATACGTGGGGGTGAATATTGAATGTTAAAAGAAGCCATCAACYATAGTACATAAGTGGCGCACTTTAACTTCATTATTAGTTATTAGTTATTATATTATAAAATATATAACACCTATATGTTTACAGTCGGATAGCTGGGCTGCGTACGAGTTGATTCCCGGGTCATCAAGAAGTATTGACGAGTTGATTCCCAGGTCATTATATATTTTTTTCAATGTTTAGTAAAATATTTAGTTTATTAGCATAACCCAAGAGACATCATGTGGATGTTGGCTGACAAATTTCTTAAAAGTTATTTTTAGTTTTTTCATATTTTGAAAATCATTCAATTTTTATTTATTAATTATTTTTTGTATTATATAATATTTATTATTTATTAAAAAAATTATTAAAAACATTTAGTAATAAGGTAAAAAATACAAGAAAATAAGTAATTTAGTAAAAAAATATCAAAAATTTTAAGTCATTTGGTAAAAATTTCTATCACATTGTTTTTATAAATTGGTATCTGCAGGTAACGAGACTTTACAATAATAGGGAATCAACTCATACCTACCTCTTAATGACCCGGGAATCAACTCGTACATACCTACCTATATTAATGACCCGGGAATCAACTAATACATAAAGTAAGTCTCGAGAATCAACTCACCTATCGCGGGATAGCTATATATTATATATCTAGCTATATGTAAAGATCTCTATGAGATAGCATTATATAAGTAGGTACTACGAGTCTATGACCTACCTAATTAATATCAAAGTTCATACGTATAGGATTAGATTAGTATGTATTATATTTAATTTGTTGAATGAAACTGTAAACATAGCTCAAATAACACTCTAACACACTTGGATACTTTGTATAAATGTTCCGATGGTGACTATACCGTCTACACCACCGGTTGAGAAATATGTGAAATGACTGTTTCATCCAATATAAGTAGGTATAATATTAGGTAAAATACCGATGACGTGGCCGAGCGCTGACGTTGACGACAAGACGCCGCTTCGCGGAACATCGYGACAGCTTAACAGCCAAAAACCAGAAAACGATATCGCGCGTCGACGATAGATACACGCGCGACGCGTTGTCTGACTTTTGCTCGATGGCGTTTTCCGTCAGCCCCCGCAACGGTTCCTGCAGACACCCTCGCACCAGTTGCGCCTATAACGACGTAGCATCTGATACGACGGCCGCCGACGTCGCTGCTATCGGCAGGCGGCGGAACAACACACGGCACAGACGCGGAAACAAAAGATGAGACACCGGCGCTGCACGGGGGTGCCGAGGTGGCACCGTTGGGCGGGGCCCGGTGATCACCGCGGGCGAAACGTGTATGTGGTGTTGGTACTACGGCGCGGCGGCGAGGTCAAAAGCGGCAGAGAAAAAACCAAGAATGTCGTGTCCGCCTCGGCGCAGCGTTAGGCGCGCGCGCAACGAACGGGGCTGTGTATATATGTAATAATATGATATGTATTATATACAGGTGATTATACTGCACGCGGTGATATATATTACATTAGGTAGGTAGGTATATACAATTATATTATGTATAGTATAATGCGAGAGCGGTCCGTATTATTATTACATATATTATATTATTAATATTATATTATAGAAAACGAGAATGAAAATAACACTTAGGCGGCGGAAACGTCGAGGAAGGGGAAAACCGAATTCGCCGTCGCCGCCGCCGTCGTAGTCGACTTGGTGAATGCGTTATACGGTGTGCGTTGGTATTTCCCTCTGCCCGGCCTCCCCCCCTACCCCGCCCACGCTTGATATACCCAATTGCCGACCCGACAAGCGGCCATTTTGTTCGGTGCGGCTTGCATTCCGAAAAGCATTGTCTTAAATAATAATAGTAATAATAATAATAATGAACGCACGCACCGCGGGGTGAGCAGCGGCGACGGCGGCGGCAGTGGCGGACGTGTATACATATTCAAGATTATGATCTGCCCGTTGAGCGAGTACACACATCATACATAAATACAATAATAATATATTTGATAATATATGTATGTATGATGCGTATATATATATATATATATCACATATATCCGTCGGATGACAACGACGACGACGACCATCAGGACCCTGAAACAGCGGCTGCCGAGCGAGCCGTCCGGGCGGGGGGGCCGGTGTTGGTGTCCTTTGTGGGCACGGCGGCAGGCGCCTGCCGCGGTTTATTTTGACAAGCAATTTGATATAATGGGCATTCTGAACGCGCCGCGCGCTCTCGGCCGCTCATATACGCACGGCATCGTCGCACACAAAACGTGCAGCGCATCTATAGACGTTATGTATAAACACGATGTGTATAAGGCGGTGGCCACACAATGAATCGTAACCRCAGCCGACTCGCGCAGCATCACCGCCGCCGCCACCCRTGTACCGGTGCAGTGTGCAATGTACTTGTGTGTAACTCTGCCGTGTAGGTATATGGTATACGTGTCGGGCTTGTTAGTCTTTTGACTTTACACCTTGTCCCTGGATGCCGGGCAGGTGGTGGCGGTGCCAGCAAACGCACTTTCTACTAGGGTGGTTCTTTTATTGTTATTATTATTATTATCATTATTGTTGTTGTTGTTGTTGTTGTAGAAACGTAGTATTTTTGTCAAATTATTATTTTGACGTAAAATAAACCAATGATTTAGCACATCCCTTTGTCCCTGTAAGACCGCGTGTAACGTGTTATAAGTATACATTAGGTATATATGATGTTCTGTTGGAAGGAAACCGCTAATTTCACCGGTCAAATTGAAAATATCTTTTAAAATGATTATTTTGCTACTTTAGTATAAGTCTCTTTCTCGTCCGAAGCATACAGTGTATTATTCTAAGACAATTATTACTAATATAATAATATTTACTTTATTCTGCTCTATACTGCTTTTATTACTATCAACAATTAAGCTTAAATATTTAAAATCTTGTGCCCACACATATTTAAATTTAATTTATAAACCTCGTACATGATAAATTAAAAATGTTAATAAATAC